CCCCCCCCCTTTTTTTTTTCTCTTGCAGAAGAAAAAGAAGGAAAAAAAAAGGGTTTCTATTTATAACGGCTAATCACGCTATTTTCTGTTTCCTAGACCATTTGGCTACTACCTTTTATCATGTCTTACTCCCCGTCGCTTGCTTGGAGCTCCTGCGAGCCCACGTCTCATGTCCTGGTTTCGGCGGTACGCCCCATGTTTCGACGACTTCTCCCGTCGCAGTTATCTGGGTGACGAGCTGCGGCGAGCCGCAGTAGACGCTGCCGCAGTATTGGCTACCGGGACCTTTGACTGTAGATGTCCGCCGACAGGTTAGCTATTTTTCTTTCACGAAGGTCGTGCGAGCCAGCCCGGATGAATGTATTTGTGCGCACCCTCTTTCATTTGCTTCTTTGGCGGTATAGGAACAGGACTGCTTGGCATACTCAAGTAGGTTTGGATAGATGGAAAAAAAACAGCTCCCCAGGCCAAAGAGAGAGAGGGTGTCATCGGGTCCGAATGGCCATGTTCAATATATACTCCTCGACCATGCCACACCTTGCCGATACCTAGATGCAATGCTTTTGCCACGTTATTCAGCACCATCGAACCACGGGCACGTAGCACAATGAGATAATACGCATTGAAACCAGAGCAGAATGAGATAAGCCGTGCCAATGGCGTGTGTTGTCCAAATGCAGCCAAAAGTGCAGCATTACATGGAAGCGAGACACGGGTGGCGTGTTTCGCCAGATATGCCGGCCATGGGGATCTACATCAATTGATGACACGTATGTCCAACCAGGGCTCTTCCTTCAACGGAGCCCAGTGACACGGAACCAATATGGTTGCAGCTATTGCTGGCGTGGCTGTCCACTGGAGGTGAAGGAATTGGTCATGCTATGCGATGCAACGGCCTGTTCTGTTTGGCTGTTGGTCTCATTTTGCCCAAGCTGTTTGCTTTTTGCAGCAGCAGTGTGGCGTGGTGTCGAGGGGGGGAGAGGAGATGATTATTTACCTATCATCTTTCCACTGGTAATTCGGGGCGAAGCAGGCTTTGGAATGCTTCATGTTTATGCCTCTCTATAACGAACAAGCTGTTGAACAGGGCTCCCCCACGTTACAAAAGGACCAGGGTGAGGCTCCGGGGTTTTCTCCCACGGTTCGGATATTTGAACCGTTGTTGCATAGGACTTCACCTTCTTAAGCCATGTCTCGATGAAAAGAGATGCGGCCGCAATCGGGATATCACTTCCAAGTCGATGGGCGTGGCGGCGCAACACAAACTCATATACAACACAAGCCAGCAGTGACACTTGGACACATTTGCCAATGATGGGTTTTGTATTTTACAAAGAAACATGCCAACATGGTAGTACAAATGAGTGACTCCGCAGATGCAAAATGAAACCTTCGTCGCAACGCCCAATAAAACCACCAAAACACATGTCAATGACGGCAAACATGCCAACACTCGGCTCAAGACTACAACATTTCCACGTCATCCTCCTCTAATAAGCCCAGACCGCTATCATACCTTCTGCGAAGCTTCTTCGCACTCGTGGTTGGTACTAAAGAGTCGGAAGCAGCAGCCACAGCTTTCCCGTCTACACAGGACGGGGAAGAGGCGAGCTCATCTTCCGCTTCGTCGCGCAGATAGACTTGCTTCTCTGCCCGCCCGGGACTACTCAGAAACTCGTGGCTCATCTGCAAAACGCGCTGCAGCTCAGCCTTCATCGAGTCCATGGCCGCCTTGGCCTTGTCCCGCTCGTCTTCCATGCGGCTTTGCAAACTGCCCTTGTCTACGCGCAGCACTCGGATGGTTTCATGAGCGGCGCGCAAGGAGTCGTTGACCCTGTCGATTTCACCGCGCAGCTCCAAAACTCTCGCATCCCGGAGAGCCAGAGCGGCACCGTGGCGTTTATTCAGCGACACGACGTGCCGGGTGCTGCTGTCTTGAACGTCGCTTATTTCCTTTTGTAGATTGGCGGATTGTCGCACGGCATCGGCAAGTCTCTCCTGCAGCTCGGAGATGCTCGCGTCTCTCTTTGCGAGTTCTTGTCGGTCAAACTCCCTTTGTGCCGAGTGCGTGGCGCATGCTTCGCGGTGTTCTTGCTCCATCCTCTGCACGAGCTTCTCGAGCTCAGACATGTCGCGGATATACCCGCCAACTGCGCCCTTTAGACGCTCGTTTCCGATCTCGAGCTCCTGAACTTTGAGGTTCTTCTCGTGGAGGAGGCGCTCGGCCTTTGCCATTTCGCTTTTGAGATCGTCCATGACGCTGACTCTGGCGTCGAGTTGTTTGCGCAGGGACTGCTCAAGCTCGTGATACTCGTCTATGGACGATTCGTCTTCCTTGGCCTTCTTGGCCAGTTCGCGCAAGCGTGTGAGCAGGAGATCGAGCACCTCGGCGCCATGGGAAGTCAGCGGCAGTGCAATCTCCCCGGGCGTGAGATACTCCAGCTCCAGACGAGCGGCTCGGAAGCCAGATGATAGCGCTATAATCATCTCGCTAGCATCTGCTCCAGGGAATCCGAGGTCGGCAATTGCAGCGCTGAGTTGTCGTACGGCTTCCGTTCGATCAGACATGTTTTGCAGCAAAGCCTCAATCTTGCCCTCCAAGACGTCTGCTGCAGAGTCACCGTCGCTCCGAGGTGAGATGGACTCCACAGAGGCAAGCTTCTCTTTCAGTTTTGAGCTCAGATTCCTGTATGAATCCAGAGTGGCCGTCAATTTACACACCTCGAGCTGCAACGACGCAAGCTCCTCTTCCGCTTGCCGTTTCTCAACGTCAGGAAAGCAAACCTGGACACCCATATGAGATCGGGGGGTAGGCAGACACGGCCTTGAGGAGCACGGCGTAGAAGGCAGCATAGGGCTGGTAGCAGGAGGCGTGGGAAACGACGACCTCGCTCGGGAGGGAGTGCTCGTCACAAGGTGTGCCATGGTCGCATCGCCAAACTGGTCCTCGTCCATGGCCATGTCCGTGTATTCATCCGCAAACGGGTCACGCGCTGCCAATGTCCAGTTATAGCTTCTCGTATGATGATGCGGAGTCTCGGGCCTCTTGGCTAGCTCGTCCTTGAGATTTTCAATCTGCTGCTCCAGGTCCCAGATCCTCTCATTGTCAACAACAATGGTGGCGTTTTGCAGCTCGTAAATCTCTCTGTCCCTAGACTTGATTTCAGACTTGAGATGGCTAATCTCAGCTTGAGATTGCTGTGCCTTGCGTTTCTTTTCCTGCTCGAGCTTGTTGAGCAAGTCGCGAAGATTGTTTCGGCGAACGCGTCTCTCAACACGGCCATCGATGGTGTGATGCAACGGGTGTGATGATTGATGATGATTGTGGGATAGGAAGATTGGGTTTTGGGGACCAGGAGTTCCGCTTCTGGTGGAAATGGCTGGTGTTGACGCACGACGCCGCTGTCGAGGAGTGTTGATGGATGTGCGGTTGATCATGGGCGTCAATCCGCTAGACATTGATATACCTGGATCAGAGAATCGAACTGCCTTCCTTGCCCGTCGCGGGGTTTTGGGTGGCAGAGCTGGAGACTCGGTTTCTTCTGGCTTCACGATGCCAACATTGCTTCGACGGGTTCGCCGAACCGCAATGGGGATATTGAGATCGGCCATACCGTACGATGTGGCCATAAGACAAACACAATGTCGATGGTCTGGGGGGCAACAAAGATGCCGCAAGTGAGAATCGACAGCCCAGGATGACGGGGAAATCAAAAGTCAAAGGTCCAAGAGAAGGCTTCAATTTGCATTTAAGAAAACAAAGGACCGTGTCAATGGGCCGGTCGCCTTGTTCGACGTGTCTGCCAGAGGCATTGTCACCATGCGACGCAGACTGGGCTGTTGTTTACTTATTTCCATTTACGGTTTAGCTGCCGGTCACGTCGGTGGCTCGGCCCCACCGCGGCGGCAACCGTTAACCAACCGTTTCAGCGATGGCAGGGGCCAGGTCAGACCCTGGATCTTTTTGGTGTCGCAACTCCATCTGCAAGGACGTGCAAATGCAACCAGACGCTTGGCCATCGGGTCGCCAGTCGCGAGAGACCCGCGCCACGGTTGGCCTGCTATGTTTTTTTTATATTGTCGGCTTCTTGGTGCGAATCTGTATGAATAAATTAATGGCCTTGGTCGTGTGCGAACAGGGAAAACCATAGTATTCCAACTATTCACGTCGTTGCCTGTGCAACGGCCGCCTTCATCACCGTGAATCAAGTGAGCCGCCAGATATTCACTGTCGCGTCCGGCTGTCATTGTAACCTTCTCCACACTCGTCTCGCTCTACGCCTGCAGGCCATCGTGCAGCCCGGCCAACCCGGAACTTTCCCACCTGGGGCCAATTTTTTTATACAGCTGGAGCTCCTTTCCCAGGGATAAAAATACCAGCCCCTCTGATGTGGCTGACATTGCTGTGATGGGAGATTTCGCCATAAAGCCCAGACTTGTATTCCGTACTCTACTTCCCCCGACCAAATTTTCACGAACGACGTTAGAGCCGTCAGTGGATAGAAGGGTAAAATCGTATCCATCCGTCGAGTCGTCCTGCTCATCAGGTTGTCGAGGATGACGGACCCAAAGGAGTTGCCTAGGTAGTGGGCTCAAGCCAAGTCCGTCGCCTTTGGCATCTAAGGCTCACCGTAAGTCCAAATTTTTCTTCTTATCGTGCAGTCCAACCAACATTACTTACCGGCGAATGCCCTTTCGGCCTTTTTACACTGGACTTGAACATCTGGCGGTGGCCAAAAGTCAATGGTGCAGTCCCAAGGAACCACCGTGTTTTTGTCGACGACCCCAATCAGAAGAGTTGGAGGCTCTTCGTCGCCAGACTTGGATCTCTTGTCATACCAGTCGCCTGCAAGTGAGTAGCAAGGCATGTTCGATTGGCCTGGCACCGATTCCGCGAAAACGGAGGTGACGTTGGCTATGTACCAAGCGTTCCGGTCGACCGGGTTGTCTGCGATGGCGAGTTGCAATTCCTGCGAGGGATTGTCATATGCCAAAACGAGTAGATCTGGCGTTCTCCTCCCCTTGTGCCATGCCGCGGATAGACCCGACGATGAGGATGTTCGAATACTGCCGCGCTCGTCCGTCACCTCCCCTGGTTTCCATATTCCGGATTCCGCCTCGGAGACCTGGGAAATAAGATTGGTCTGGCTCAAGTAAAACAGGTGGACTGACCCCGTTCGATCGGCTTCCATAGCAAGAGGAGTGCCTGGCTTGGGTTCCGGAGCCGATGATTCCAGCTTCTCGTTGATTCTAAAGTGGGTGACTGTCCTGTTCACCCATTCGGTAATAAGAAGATGGCCAGTGTCTTCTTGGAAGACCAGTAGTCTGCGCTCCTGGCCAGAGTCTCCTTCTTTCCTAACGAGCAGTGATGCCAGCTGAGACTTGTCCGACATGATAAATGGCGTAGCCGTCTCTTGAGCTTCTGTCGTAGTCGAAGTGGGAGTATATTGTGTGCTTGGTGTTGATAACACAGCAGTCACTGTATGCTGTGTCGAGTTACGACGGGTAGTTGACGACGCACCAAGAGAAATCGGCTGTGTTTGACTAGTAAGAGCTGTTGTCGACGAGATATCGTCATCGCCCGTCGTGTCAGATTTCCTGGCAGACTCCAACTTGAGTACCACCCCAAGAACGACCGCACAAGTGATTACGATGAACACCGAGAGTCCTACCGCAGGGTAAAAGAATCGTTTTCGACGATACCAAGGAACCTCCCGAGGCTGAGTATAGTAATGATTATGAACAGGCCCCGTCGCATTTCTCTTCAGTCTGCTTTCATATTCCGGAGGAGGGCCAAAGGCCTCAAGCGGGATGCTGCCAGTCACCATGTTGCGGTTCTCCATGGGAGACAGGCCAGGGGATGTCTATCGGAGACAATGCGCATGAGAAGCCGGGAAGAACTCTCTCGGGGGACAAGCTTTATTAAATGCCATTCCTTCGGTGCATGTTCGTATAGAGAAAGCAATTGGGGGGGGGGGGGGGGGGGGGGAAAAAGCTCTACCTCTCTTGAAAAGG